ATGGAAAAAGAAGAAGGAGAAGAAGGAAGGAAGGAAAATGGAAAGAGGAGAAGGAGGAGAAAGGAGTGGAAGGAAGGAAAATGGAGAGGAGAAAGTGGAGAAAAGGGAGAAGAAGGAAGCAAAGGAAGGAAGGAAAATGGAAGGAAGAAAGAGAAAGAGGAGAGGAAGGAAGGAAAATGTAGAGGAGAAAGAGGAGAAGAAGGAAGCAGAGGAAGGAAGGAAAATAGAAAGAGAAGGAGGAAGAAGAGGAAGGAAGGAAGATCATTAGCCTTCTATTAAAAAAATAATTCTGCAAACTAAAAACTATTTCTGCGTAGTTGTACTGCCCTCCTGACTTTTTTTTACTTTCCCTCCCTCCACTTCTCCCACCTAACCCCCCTGGTCAAGCTCTGCATTGCTCACCTCTGCCTCAACCTGTAATCGAAATCCACGTTGCTCTGTGGAGTGATGGAACCATTCACTGCGTAGGGCTATGGAGCACAGAAGCAAAACAACAACAACAACACAAATTGTTAGATAAAGTCATCCTCCAACAGAGTGGGGAGTCTCTCCCTTATCGAGAGCATCCATGCCCTCCGGTCTAAAGCAGGGGTCCCCAAACTTGGCAACTTTAAGACTTCAACTCCCAGAATTCTATGCTAGAATTCCAGCTACGCTGGCTGGAGAATTCTGGGAGTTGAAGTCCACAAGTCTTAAAGTTGCCAAGTTTGGAAATCTCTGCTCGAAAGAAAAAATAGAAGCAAGGAAATCAATTTAAATAATTTCATTAATGGCGAGGCAGAATGCCAAGCTCCAAAACCAGATTATTTCACCTTGAATCGGCCCTGGGAGAATCAGGAGTAGCTAATCTCCCGATGCTTTTTGATTACTAAACGTACAACATCCCGAAGCAAAACACTTACTCCATAGGTGATCATCACTGCTTTGGGTTTGAGTAGTTTTCCAGCTCCCTGAAACAAACCCTGCACAAACAGAAGCCAAGAGAGGAAGAAGGGAGAAGCCATGAGTTCTGGAAAGAAGGTCTAGGAGGGTCACAATCTTTTTTTGTTGTTGTTTTGCTGTGGTTATTAAGTTTGCTGTTGCCTCCATCCTAGAGCTGAGAGGTGAGGCAAGGTCCACCCATCTGACCTTCATGCCTAAAGTGGGATTCAAATTCAGTCTTCTCCTAGTGATTGGTCCAAAGTTACCCAGCCAGCTTTTATGTCTAAGGCAGGACTAGAACTCCCTGTCTCCTGGTGATTGGCCCAAACTCACCCAGCTGGCTTTCATGCCTAAGGCGGAACTAGAACTCCCTGTCTCCTGGTGATTGGCCCAAAGTCACCCAGCCGGCTTTCATGTCTAAGGCGGAACTAGAACTCACCCTCACTTGGTGACTGGCCCAAAATCACCCAGCCAATTTTCGTGCCTAAGATGGGACTAGAACTCACCTTCTCCCATTTTCAAGCCTAGTGCCTTAACTGGGACACCAAGCTTCCCTACTATGAAGTTGGTTAAAACAAAGCTTCACTGTATGTTAACCTGTAAGAGAGCCCCATTCGCCTACGTGGCAAAAACTCACAGGTCTGCTGCTCCCTTTCTCTTAGCACCTGACTTGTGAAAGCAACTGCCTTTGAATAGAATTTGCTCGTCAGAAAAAGTGCTACCGGATTTCTGGCTTTTTTTTTTGTGGGGTTTTGTTTTTGTTTTTTTGCTATTCTACACTGGTGTCACCTAATCCGGAGACGCCCAAAGCGAAAACCAACTGAGGTCCAGCCTCGATCCCGGCGAGCCGAAAGGGATTTATGGCTGAGCAAACTTTGAAAGTCAAGCCTGCCCACCTGAGTGCACTTCATTTCTGAGATATGAATCATGTTGATGTTGACGATGAGATCCAAAGAATTCGGGCGCAGGCCTCCCCAAGTCTCCCAGCTCTGGGAGGAGTCCAGGTAGATGGGCGGCTTGACATTTGAGAGCTGGAGCGTTTGGATAAACGCTGAGATGCTACAAAGAGAGAAAGAGGAAGAGGAATCTGTTGACCACCATAAAATAGAACAATTTACCAATGGAACAACTTGCCTCCAGAAGTTGTAAATGCTTCAACAACACTGTTGAAGTGATTGGACAATCATTTGTCTGAAATGGTGTAGGGTTTCCTGTCTAAGCAGGGGGTTGGACTAGAAGACCTCCAAGGTCCCTTCCAACTCTGTTATTCTCCCTATCAGGGAAATTTCTCCTTAGTTCCAAGTTGCTTCTCTCCTGGATCAGTTCCCCCACCCATGGCTTCTTCTCCTGGCCTCGGTGTGTTTTGGAGCAGGGGTCTCCAACCTTGGCAAGTTTACAACCAGCGCATGCTGGCTGAGGAATTCTGGGAGTTGAAGTCCGCAAGTCGTAACGTTGCCAAGGTTGGAGAGCCCTGCTTTGGAGAATAGCTTGACGCCCATGTTGCAGAAGGCATCGGTGGAATCTCTTCCATCCTTCCGAGGTGGGTAAAATGAGGAGCCAGATTGTTGGGGGCAAGAGGCTGACTCTGTAAAATGCTTAGAGAGGGCTGGAAAGCACCAAAAAGCAGTATATAAGTCTAAGGGCTCTTGCTATTGCCCTCTCTCCCTTCCATGGTGCGCAGTGGTTAGAATGCAGCATTGCAGGCTGACTCTGCCCACTGCCAGCAGTTCGATTCTCACCAGGCTCAAGGTTGACTCAGCTTCCCTCCTTCCGAGGTGGGTCAAATGAGGGGGGTAATCGTAATATTAGGAATTAATAGGTAATAAGCTTAGAGAGGCCTGTATAGAAGCGGTATAGAAGTCTAAGGGCGAGAGGGGAGAGCCCGCCAGCGTGGGAAGCAAGGCAGGGGAAGCCCAGAGGGGGCTTCGCCCACCCGCCTAACCCTGCCTTGCCCCTCCTCACCTCGCCAGGGCTTGGGGATCCACGTCGGAAGGCTGCCACTCCAGGTTGGGCAGCGCTTGGGCGAAATGCGCCGCGTGCAGCCCGCAGCCCGAGGCCACCTCCAGCGCTTGCACGCCCGGCCGGGTCCCCACGTAGCCCCGCAGGACGGCCAGGATGGGCTCCTTGTTGCGATCCGCCGCCGAGCCGAAGCCTCGGTTCATGGCTCTCCCCCGCAGCCCACGTCCCCAACCCAGCCGGGATCGGGCGCAGGAGGCGAGGGACGCGCGCAGGAGGAAAGCTGAAGAAGCCGGAGCCGCCACCAGCCCGGATGCCCCGGGGACCAACAGCAGCAGCAGCAGCTGCTCCTCTGCCCACCTTCCTTTCCCTTTCCTTGCCACGGACGAACGCCAAAGCAGGAAAGACTACGCTTCCCACAAGGCAGCGGGGTGGGCGGGGGGCGAGGACCGTCTCTGGTTATTATGGGCTGGAGCTGAAGAGGCGGGTCCTTGCCTTTCAGGGGGGGGGGGGGGGGAGAGAGAGTGGAAGACATGCCAACCACCCCCTCCCCGCCTTGAGTCTTGATCTGTGCCAGGGGTCTGCAAACTTGGCAGCCTTGTGGACTTCAACTCCCAGAATTCCTCCTCCAGTCCTGTTAGCTCAGGAATTCTGGGAGTTGAAGTCCAGAAGTCTTAAACTCGCTTAAGTTTGAAGACTAGATAGATAGATAGATAGATAGATAGATAGATAGATAGATAGATAGATAGATAGATAGATAGATAGATCGTCAAAGATCTTCAAACTTGACAGCTTTAAGACTTGTGGACTTCAACTCCCAGAATTCCTCCTCCAGTCATGTTAGCTCAGGAATTCTGGGAGTTGAAGTCCCCAAGTCTTAAACTTGCCGAAGTTTGAAGACCCTTGATCTATGCCATGGGGACTAACTTTACCAATGCTTCTAGGTTTTCCTTAAAAAAACAACAACCTGTGTTGCAAGGGGAGCACATGGGACTCAGAAGCCAAGGCGCTAGTCCTCAGGAGGCTTTGGCATTCTTTGGCCGCAGGAGGTGCTCCTGGAAGACATTCTGAAAAATGTGGGTTGCAACCCCCCCCCCCCCCCCCGAAAAAAAAACCACCAGCCTACTCAGACATGGGTGATGCTTGTTCAGATATTTCTGTCTTCTTCTCCAAAAATCTGCAAGAGAGCTCTTTTCTTGCAATTTCTTTTAAGAGGAGTGCAGGCGCAACAAAGGGAAACCGGCATGAAATGTGCACGCTTTTGCAAGGGAAGGAGCCCCGGGATGAAAGGAAAGGCGTGGGAACGCGGTAAAGGGTGAAAGCGGTGGTGCATTGCAAAGAAGACGGATTTGGCAAAAGGTTAAAAAGGAAACACACAAAAAGGAACTTGTGCGCCGCCCGGGAATCGAACCCGGGTCGCAAGAATGGGAATCTTGCATGATACCACTACACCAGCGGCGCAGCTGGCGAAGTAAGCTTTGTTCAAACCCTTTTGAAATTCGCGGGTGGCCTTTCCTTCCTTTCCGTGCAATCATTAAACATCGCGATGTCCCGAAGCTTGAAGAAGGCGAGGATGAATTCTTGCAAAGCAGCAAACCAAGTGACGTGCGGTAAGGCTGGATTTTTCATCCCTGACCTCTTGAAGAGGAGCGGACACCCAGAATTCCCCAGCGGACAGCTGGGCGCAGAATTGTCTACCACTTGTAGACACATATCACTTGTCTGAAACAGTGAAATACTTCTCCTGCTTGAGCAGAGGGTTGGACTAGAAGATCTCTAAGCTCCCTTGCAGATTCTGTTCTTATTTCTATTCTTATTTCTGTTCTATTCTTATTTCTGTTCTATTCTATTCTTTATTCTATTCTATTCTTATTTCTATTCTAATCTTAATTCTATTTTTATTTCTGTTCTATTCTTAATTCTATTCTATTCTTAATTCTATTCTATTCTTAATTCTATTCTTATTTCTATTCTAATCTTAATTCTATTCTATTCTTATTTCTGTTCTATTCTTAATTCTATTCTATTCTAATCTTAATTCTATTCTATTCTTATTTCTATTCTATTCTTAATTCTATTCTCTTCTTAGTTCTATTCTTATTTCTGTTCTATTCTTAATTCTATTCTATTCTTAGTTCTATTCTATTCTTATTTCTATTCTATTATTAATTCTATTCTATTATTATATCTATTCTTTATTCTATTCTTAGTTCTATTCTATTCTTAATTCTATTCTATTATTATTTCTATTATTATTTCTATTCTAATCTTAATTCTATTCTATTATTTCTATTCTATTCTATTCTTAATTCTATCCTATTCTCATTTCTATCCGATTCTTATTTCTATTTTATTTTAAATTCTATTCTATTCTTATTTCTATTCCATTCTTATTTCTATTCTATTCTTAATTCTATTCTAAATTCTATCCTATTCTTATTTCTATTCCATTCTTATTTTTATTCCATTCTTATTTCTATTCTAAATTCTATTCCTGTTGTTCTTTGCAGTGGCTGAGCATGCTGGCTGGGCCTGGGGAACCGTTGCAATTCTGGTCCCAACTGCGATTGTTAAGTCAAGGATTCTTGACTTATGGAGAGGCGGGTTTTTTTTGTGAATCTCTTTTGGGTTCATCTTCTCTTGCTGCAAAGCAGAACGCAGATTTGAGCAAGAGCCTGTCCATTCGCCAAGATAATCTTCCAGCTCATTCTTCTCACCTATGACCCAGACATTAAATCCATTTGTAGGTCAATCCTTAACTTAAGCAAGATCGGTTTGTAGCAGGGCAAGGACTTTGGCCACCTGGAGGGTGTATTTTAAGGACAAAACGCTAGGTTTCTCCCAAGGAAACATTTTCAAACACGTCTCTTCTTTTATTATTATTGTTAAGGAACAAACTCTTGAGTTGTGGCTGTGCTACAGTTTTGGAATGGACTTAATAATGTTCCCTTGGCACTCATGTGTTTATCAACCTAAGAATTCTTTCAACACTTTTTAAGCTAAGTTGGTTCATATTATTACCCATGGTAGATGCAAGAGTGAAATCAAATCCCTGTAGTACTGTTGTTTAGAAACAGAATGTGCAAAGTTATTAATCACCAAGGACAGCTTCCTTCCTTCCTTCCTTCCCTTCCTTCCTTCCTTCCTTCCTTCCTTCCTTCCTTCCCCTTCCTCCCTTCTTTCTTTCTGTCCTTTCTTTCTTTCTCCCTCCCTTTCTTTTCCTTCCTCTCTCCATCCCTCCCTTCTATTCCTCCCTTCCCTTGCTTGCTCGCTCCCTTCCTTCTTCTCTTTCCTGCTTTTTGTAGTTGGTGTGTATGTGTTTAATTTTCTTTATAAAACCTTTAATTAAAACTATTTTTTTTAAAAACAACAACTGACTACTTTGGTTTTCCAAAAGAAAGCACAGGGGAGAAAGGGCCTTGCTTTCACTCTCAAACTTTAAAATGTCTTGGTCTACAGTTAAATGAAAGATCGGGGACTGAAAAATTAAAAGTTCTTTGGCATCAATATTAGCTTCTGCAAAATGAAGAAAACAGCTGCTTTACTATCAGGGAGAGAGCTACCAAGAAGAAATTTAAACTTTCCCCCAAATTTGCCTTTTTTAAGTTATTATTTAGATTTTTATCCCGCCTTTTATTATTTGTATAAACCAATCATATAAAACTAATATTGTTTTTATATTTTTGTACTGACTTTACTTTTTTAAATAAAAGGCAGAGAGCATACCTAAGGCCCCTTGTTCCTATTTTCCCAACAGAAAGAACCCTTTGAAGGGGTTGGGCTGAGAGAGGGACTGGCCCAAAGTCACCCGGCTGGTTTTCACACCAAAGACAGGGACCAGAACTCACCATCTGCTTTCTAGGGCTAACACCTTCACCATTACACCATACTGCCTTTCTGAGAACTCTCTGGAGTTCTTCTCTGCAACTGAAGGGGTAGAACCAGCTAGATGTGTTTCGAAGGCAGGTAGTTCTCTACTTACGACCTGAGCTGGAATTGGAATTTCTGCTGCTAAGCAAGAAGGTTATTGAACTGAGCTACGCTCAATTTCATGAGCGTTAACCCTGGCGATTAACATTTCCTTTTTTTAAATTTAAAAATAAACTTTATTAAAGATTAATATATATATATATATATACAATACATAATACAACACATTTTGTTAAAAACGAAACCAATGAGAAAGACAAAACCAGAAATTCCATCTGAACTCAAAGTACATATAAATTATAAATAAAAAAACCAACACAAACCACATTGCAGCAATTAACAAGACAGGGCAGGATAAGGGATTGAAGACGTCAAAAGATAACAAAACACACATGCTTAGGAGGACACCAGAACTCAGATAAGACTTGACAAACCAGAATAATTTTACGCTTTGCTTCCAGAAACTTTGCCGTGCGCAGTTTGCCCTTTTAAACAGTCTTCCCAGCTGCGGCCAATGAAGGGGATCAGGGCCCTTTCCTCCCCATAAACCACGCAACTCACATTCCTCCCTTATCTGTTCCTCCCTGTGTGTCCTCAGATGAAGAGGGGGTGGGCCTGGGTCTTCCTCTGAATGCCCAGCTGGCCTGTGACCTTCCCCAGTTTCCTCCACAGCAACCAGAGCCACACTCCCACTCCCTGTCAGCTGTTCCACCTCTCCCTCGAAATCAGATTCCAACAGGGGCATGGCAGATGGGTATAGTAAAGGGTCAATATATACATCCTGCCAGCAGCAAGTGTGGTATATGCCCACCTCTTCAAATGGTCAAAGTTGAGAAGCAATCCTTCATTTGTTGCAAAGTACATGGAACAAAACGAAAAGATATAACACGGCAACAACTGTATATATAAATGTATGTATATAAGTTATATCTATATGTATTTTATTCAGCTTTGTTCAGGTATTTTCCCACATCATTGTAGTTGTGCTTTTAAAGTTGTAACAACGTTTCGGCATAATCTCATCTGCCATCATCAGGCATGCATATATATATAGGGGTGTGTGGGGTGTGGGTGTGTGTGTGTGTATGGTATTCAGCTTTGTTCGGGTATTTTCCCACGTCATTAGCACAACTATAATGACATGGGAAAATACCCGAACAAAGCTGAATACCATACATGTAAGTACCCGTGAAAACTTCACACACACACACACACACACACACATAAACACACACACACACAGAGTTATACATAGACCAAGATCAAGTCAAGATCAAGGGAAGTACTAATACCACTCTATAAAGCCTTAGTAAGACCACACCAAGAGTAATGCATCCAGTTTTGGTCACCACATTATAAAAGATGCTGAGACTCTAGAAAAAGTACAGAGAAGAGCAACCAGGATGATTAGGGGACTGGAGGCAGGAACTGGGCCTAGCTAGTCTAGGGAAGAGAAGGACCAGGGGAGACATGATATCAATCCACCAATATTTGAGGGGCTGCCACAGAGAGGAGGAGGAGGGGTCAAGCTATTTTCCAAAGCACCTGAAGGCCAGACAAGGAAAAATGGATGGAAACTGAACAAGGAGAAATTTAACCTGGAAATAAGGAGAAACTTTTGACACTGAGAACAATCAACCCATGGAACAGCTTTGCCCTCAGAAGTTGTGGGAGCGCCATCACTTGAGACTTTCAAGAAGAGATTGGACTGCCATTTGTCAGAAATGGTGTAGGGTCTCCCGCTTGGGCGGGGGGTTGGACTAGATGACCTACAAGGTCCCTTCCAACTCTGATTATCTGTATCTGTATCTTATCTGTACCTTTAATAAATAGCACATATACGCTTTAACACAGTATGTTTTACTCTTTGCATTTTAAAAAAATATTTATTTTCATATTTGCTATTTTTTACCCTCTGGAATAAGTTAGTTTACCAATCTTAGAAATAAATACATACACTGTTTCATTTATGAACCATAGCCTGTGAAACTCCAAAGCACCAACTTTCCTACCCTTGTTGTTGTGCTCACTAAAGCAGAGACTGGCGATTATATCAAAATATGTACAAACACGTCAATTGCTATGGCGATTGAAAAAGTCATAGTTTTAAGTTAAGGCGAATGGCTTTGCTTTAAGAACATTCCAGAAATCTTTTGGTGTTCGTGTCCCATGACCCTTGGAATGAAGGAGAACCTTCGTAACAGTGAGGACAAAAATAACCAGCGGAACAGCCGGCCTCCAGAAGTTGTGGGTGCGCCATCACTGGAGGGTTTTAAGAAAAGACTGGATAGCCACCTGGCTGAAATGGTAGGGCCTCCTGCTTGAGCAGGGGGCTGGACTAGATGACCTCTGAGGTCTCTTCCAGCTCTATTCTGATTGATTGATTGATCAGTGGAATGGGTCGCCTTCCAGAAGTTGCGGATGCTCCGTCACTGGAGGTTTTTTTTTTTTTTTTAAGAGACTTGGACAGCCACTTGTCTGGAAATGGTATAGGATGTTCTGCTGCTGGGGGAAGAGGTTCGACTAGAAGACCTCCAAGGTCCCTCTCAACGGTGTGATTCTGTGATAAGACCCAACCTGGGCGCGCTTTCCTCCTTGCAAGGTGACACCCAGGAGACCCCGCAACCGGCGGCCGCCCCCGGGCACCTCTTCATCTCGCCATCGCCCGGCACACGTGGGAGCGCGTCACGGGAGTCCGACCCAGGCAAGGCTCCCAGTCGGCGCCTCCCTTGCGCAACCCAAGCCCGGAGTCCCGGCCAAAAAGGCGCGCGGCGCCTTTAAAGCGCAGCCACGAGGAGGGAGGGACGGAGGGGGGCGTGCAGGAGGCAGCTCGGGCTGGCCGGCCCTGGGCTGGGCGGCCTTAAAGGGGACTCGCGCCTTGGCCGGCCCAAGTTAAAAGTTCCAGGCCGGCGCAGTGGGGGGAAGAGTCTCTCTCTCTCTCTCTGGCCGCGGTCGTCGCCTTTGGGTCCCTTGCTGCAAGCGGTCGGGGACTCTGGCCGAGAGGCGGGGCGGCCCTCCTCCTCCTCCTCCCCCCCACCCCTCCACCCAACGGGAGGAGCCTCTTTCGAACCCGGCTCCCGGGAAATGCCCCGCAGCCAGCTGGATGCCCTTCCTTAGGATCGGGAAGGCTTGAGTGCGCGCGTCCGACGCCTGGCCAGCCTGCTCCGGGGAAGGGACGCCGATGATGTACACCATCACCAAGGGCCCGAGCAAGCTAGCCACGCAGAGGAGGACAGGTAAGGCGTGGAGGAAGAGGAGGAGGAGGAGGAAGGAACGTGGGCTTCACCCCGGTCCTCCTTCTGCAGCTGCGCTGCGCTGGACGACCATGCCCATCTTCCCCGGCCAGCCCGGGGAAGTCGCGATCCCCCCTCCCTTGGGGAAACCTCCCAGCTTCGCGCCTCCCCTCTTTCTCTTCGGCTCCTTCTGCAAAAGGCGCCCCCCGCCTCTCCTCCTGAACTGCAGCAGCCCACCTTCCAACTCCTCTCCCCCAAGGAAGGAAGGAAGGAAGGAAGGACGGGCGGGCTCGTCAAGTCTCGGGTCGTTCCGCAGGCCCCAGGTGTTACGGATCGTGCCTCTCTCTCTCTCTCTCTCTGGCCCCGCAGGTCCCACGCAGCAGGTGGAGAGCAAACTGGTCGACCTGAAATGCCGGCGGCAGCAGCAGCAGCAGCAACAGCAGCCGGAGCTGAGCTCGTGGCCTCCTGCAAGGTGAGGAAGAGGAGGAGGAGGAGGAAGAGGGGGGCGCGGGGGGTGGTGGTGTCCGTCCCAGGCTCGGCCACGGCCGGCGAAGGCAAAGCGAGAGAGGACGTCCCCGGTGCCTCGGTGACCTTGCAGCCTCGGCTTGCCCCGGGGGATGGCTCCACCTGGCCCGGGATCGGGAGGGGGCGACGAGTCGAGCACAGGGGGGCCGGGACTGGTTGGCCCGGGCGGGGAGGGTCGGGGGTGGGGGGGTGTCTCTTGGCCGGACCGGCTGACAGGCAGCCTCCCCGGAAGGGAAGTGGAGGTGACCTTGGTCGGAAGGCTCTGCCTGCCTGCTCCTGTCCTTGTGGCCACATGGCTCCCAAGGGGCGGGGGGAAGGAGGAGGGGGGGGCTGGGGGGGTGGGGTGGGGGAAGGAGAGGGGGGTAGGTGGGCGCTCCCAAACCCCCTCCGCCCGGCCGCGGTCGCCCCCGCCGAGCCACGTGGCTTGCAAGGACAACCCCGGCACGTGCCCGCCTGGAGGGAGGGGAATCTCCTTTGGGGGGGGGGGGGGGGGGGGGGAGTAGGCGGGTGACGTCAAAGGACGTCACGAGATGGGAGGGGGCCAGGAGGGAGCCTTTACCCTAGACTAGAGAAGGGCCAAAGGCAGAGGGGAAGGGTGTGTGTGTGTGTGTGTGTGTGTGTGTGTGTGTGGGAGTACAGGCTATGAAGGAGGCTTGCTAAACCTGTGGAATGCCCCCCCCCTTCCTTGGGTGGGGAGGAGGTGCTGAGTACTGGGTGGTTGGGGCTCGTTTGCATTCCTCTGGGTGCCCAGACAGACACTGACACAGACACACAGGCACAAACACACACACACAGAGACACACACACAGAGCCTTTGCTCTTCTAGGTACTTGGCTTGGAAACCTTCCCTGGTGGACAAAAAGGGATGTTCTGAAAGTTAATGGTTAAGACAGGTAGACTTCAATTCCCCGATGTCCCCAGCCAGCATCTGGACCAAGGATCTTCAAACTTGGCCCAGTTTTAAGACTTGTGGACTTCAACTCCCAGAATTCCTGAGCTAACATGACTGGAGGAGGAATTCTGGGAGTTGAAGTCCACAAAATCTGAAAGCTGTCAAGTTGGGAGACCCCTGAATTCTAGACTCGTGTTTTTCAACCTTGGCAGCTTTTAAGAGGTGTAGATGCTGGCTGGCGAATGCTCTCCCTGGTTCAGTTGTCTCACCTACAAATGTTCACAGTTTCAGTCGCAAATTGGCTTCCGTGGACCTTATGTCATGCTTAAATGGTTAGTAGAGGGGGCATAGTGCCTAAGTGCACTACTAACGTGCCTATTGTCCCATTGTATTTTTATTCTTTTATTCCACTTCTGTTGTTTTCTTTGACAAGTTCTAATAAATAAGCAAGATGAGACCATTCTAGTTGGATGGCTGATTGCAGAGCTCTTTTGATCAAACATGGACCTGCTTTGGGGTTTACATGTTGTCTGCTTGGATTCGCAGCAATGCACTAAACTGGAATTGAATCCAGGCAGTCCTCGGCTTAACGGCCACAAGGGAGCCCCCAAATGCTATGGTTCAGCGAGACATTTGTTAAGTGAGTTCTGCCCCATTTTACAGCCTTTCTTGCCACACCTGTTAAGTGAGTCACTCAAGCTGACACGTTAGTAAATCTGTTGTTGACGGAATCTGATTTCCCCATTGAATTTGCTACTCAGAGGGTCGCCAAGCTCCGGACACAGCAACGGTCGTAAATATGAACCAATTGCCAAGCAAGCCTCTGAATTTGGATGCTGCTAAGGTTGTAACTGTGAAAATAGTGATGTTTTTTTCAATGCCGTTGTAACTTTGAATGGCCACTAAATGAACCGTTGTAAATCAAGGACAGACTGTGGTTTATAATCCAGCCTATAGTGGAAATGGGACATGATGGCTCAGTGGCTAAGATGCTCAGCTTGTCAATCAGAAAGGTCGGCAGTTCGGTGGTTTGAATCCCTAGCACCGCATAACGGAGTGAGCTCCCGTTACTTGTCCCAGCTTCTGCCAACCTAGAAGTTCGAAAGCACGTAAAAAATGCAAGTAGAAAAATAGGGACCACTTTGGAGGGAAGGAGACAGCTCTCCGTGTGCCTTTGAAGGCATTTAGTCCTGCTGGCCACATGACCACGGACACGTCTTCAGACAGCGCTGGCTCTTAGGCTTTGTAATAGAGATGAGCACCGTCCCCTAGAGCCAAGAACAGCTAGCACGGATGTGCTTTTACCTTTTATAGTGGAAATGCAATCTTGACTCTTCATCCTGTTGTGTTAAGCAGAATAGAATAGAATTCCTTATTGGCCATGGGTGATTGGACACACAAGGAATTTGTCTTGGTGCAAATGCTCTCAGTGTACATAAAAGAAAAGATACATTTGTCAAGAGTCCAGAATCATCAGGTACAACACTTAATGATAGTCATGGGGTACAATAAGCAGTCAAATCATACTTGGAAACAGTCAATATAAATCATAAGGATGCAAGCAACAAAGTTACAGTCATACAGTCACAAGTGGGAGGGGATGGGTGATAAGGAGTGATGAGAAGATTAATAATAATAGTAATGCAAGACTTTGTAAATAGATGGACAGTGTTGAGGGAATTATTTGTTTAGCAGAGTGATGGTTTTCAGGAAAAAAACTGTTCTTGTGTCTAATTGTTCTGGTGTGCAAGGCTCTATAGCGTCATTTTGAGAGAAGGAGTTGAAACAGTTTATGTCCAGGATGTGAGGGGTCTGTAAATATTTTCCCAGCCCTCTTTTTGACTCGTGCAGTATACAGGTCCTCTATGGAAGGCAGGTTGGTAGTAATTGTTTTTTTCTGCAGTCCTAATTATCCTCTGAAGTCTCTGTCTGTCTGAATAAGGGCAGAGTTTTGGAAATAGTGTTGGAACTGGTGGGCTCGGAAGAACTAAGGGTGAAACAAAAATATTCACTCAAATATTTTGTACAAATGTTTCTCGAATTATGACAATTTGGAACCAGAATTTCCACTGTCCAGCAAGGCTAATTGTTCAGTGAGTTGATGCTGGATTGTGCAACTTTTTATTTTTTTGCCACAGTTGTTATCCAAACCTCTCCAGTTGTTAAGTGAATCACGCAGTTGCAAAGGAAATCCAGTTTCCCCCGCCATTTGATTGTGGGAAGCCAGCTGTTCACAATTGGCTCTGGGATGCTGCAACCATTGTAAATTATATAACAATTGCCAAACCCCCAAATTTTGAATCACGTAATGGTGAGGATGCTACGACAGTCATAGGTGCAACGACTAGTTGCAAGTCACTCTTTTTCCCCGTGCCATTGTAACTTTGAACTGTCGCTATTCGAAGGATTGTGAATTGAGGATTATCTGTGCAAGATTCAAGCTTCACCTCTTAATCTAGGAAACTTCTTCTTGTTTATTTCCATTTTAAACAGGTTCTGCAGCCTGAAAAATGTTTGAAAACCCCTGAAGCAGGTTCATCGTCGTGCCATAATATTAATTGTTCATTTAATTGGGCACTGTAAGTTCGATGAACACAACATCTTGGGTAATCTGGGGTAAATTATAGCATATTGAGTATTAAAACTATTTCATGGCTAAAAAAATAATCCCACAGGTGTAGGGTTTGTTTGTGGTGAGAAATGGGTCCGCCCTTGAGTTCACCTGATACCATCATTTTCATTGCACAACAGCATCAGTCTTTACGTTTGATTACACAATTGTAATACTGCACAGGTACTTCTCAATTTACAGCAGTTTGTTTAGGGACCATTTGAAGTTACAATGGCACTGAAAGTAGTGACTTATGTCCATTTTTCAAACATGACCATTGCAACATTCCCATGGACACTTGATTTACATTTGGATGCTTCACAGTTGACTCATATTTATGTCCTGGAGTAATTAGAATAGAATAGAATATGGAATAGAATGGAATAGAACAGAATAGAATAGGATATGGGATATGGAATGGAATGGAATGGAATATAGATATAGGAATGAAGAATAGAAGAGAATTCTTTATTGGCCAAGGGTGATTGGGCACACAAGGAGTTTGTCTTTGGTGCATAAGCTCTCAGTGTACATAAAAGAAAAGGTACATTTGTCAAGAGTCAAGAATCATAAGGTACAATGCTTAATAATAGTCAAAGAGTACAATAAGAAATCAAATCATACTAGGAAACTGAATAGAATAGAATCGAATCGAATAGAATAGATGGTGATCATAAATTGAATTGGATTAAAAAATCCTTTCTCCACGCCCCAAAGGGACCTTGGAAGAACAGACAATATTTCCCAGCCTTTAGGGGAAAAAAATTATGTCGCAAAGCAATTATTACTTTGTGTTACACATATCTTGAAGTCCAATTAGTGTTTGTTTAGTTTCTAGCTAGTTGGATACCAGTTTACCAATGGCAAACCCAGCCATTGTAAGTATTTTTCCCCCCTTCTTCCATTCCATTGTGTTCGATTCTCTGGCATTGCCTAGACAAGTCCCTGCAATTTTCTTGGCTGCATTTTTCAGAAGCTATTTGCCATTGCCTCCTTTCTAGGGCTGAGAGAAAGCGGCTGGCTCAAGGTCACCTTAGCTGGTTTCATGCCAAAGACAGGACTAGTAGAACTCACCATAGCTGAACTGCTTGAAAATGAAATGTGTTGTTGAGTGATGCGACAGCTTTGCTAAAATAAAAGACTTTTACGTAAGACCCTGACATTATATCCATCTACTTAGGAGATACTCAACCTTCCATTGACAAAGTTATCTTCCTTTTGGTCTATATAATTTATTGCCCTGCTGTGTTTACTTATGTAGCAAGAGTCCAACAACTGCTTCATAAATCTCTCTTTACTTAATAGCAGCGTTTGCACAACAATGATGTAACAAAATTAACTCATTTTATGGCTAGGAAGAGTTTGCGAAAGCATGAACTAACCCAATGCGCCCCCTACCTCTTAAAACCAAGATCCTAAGCCAGAAAATAATTTGAAAATATGAATTACATGCTAAAACTAGAGAGAAATTACGTTTTGCCGCAAACAGCAACTTTATGGTGGAGGAGCATGCAATAAATTCATTTGGCTGCATTTGAATGACAGAGTCGATCATGGTTAAGGGAACCATAGTTTTCTTTAGGTGTCTACATTGGTAAGAATATGCTGGACTATACAGGAATCCTGTGGGCTGAATTGGTGCAACTAAACTAAGATATGATTGTCTAATTTCTGTCGTATAAGCCTAGCCACTGTGAGCTACTAATCCAGGATATGTCTTCATCAGAGGTGGCATTCAGCAGGTTCTGACCAGTTCTGGAGAACCGGTAGCGGAAATTTTGAGTAGTTTGGAGAACCAGCAAACTCCACCTCTGACTGGAGATTTTACAGTATTCTTCCCCTGCCACGCCCACCAAATCACGTCCACAGAACCGGTAGTAAAAAAAATTGAATCCCACTACTGGTCTTCGTGCTTTTGGGTACACTCTGCAAATGTGGTATGGTTTAAGCAATCACAGTTTAATACAAAGTTAAGACTATGGTACCATTGTATTATATACGTAGTTCAAGTGGCAGCTTGCAAAGTTTCCTCTTTCTGTTTTTGCACAAGATTCTAGACCTCATGGAGTGAAGGAAAACAAAATTTGGACATTGCAATGTTTAGGCATAGAAAGGGGATAGAAAACAGTGCAATTCATTCTCTGAAGGTTTTTCTTCCCCCGAAGAAAGACTTTTATCTCAAAGTGTATTTAATAAAATATATAATTTGGCCCAGGGAAGGCACCAGAGTGAGGTCAGACGCACGTCAGCATAGGTGCGTAACTTGATCTCCTTCGATCAGACCTTGTGCATTTCTCACTGTGGTGTCTCTTTCAAGCTTTGGTGTTGACCGTTTTTTTTTTACAATGACCGTTTGTTCCACTGACCTTGGAAAAAATGTGTGTCCAATTGCAACGAGAATTTGGGAGAGGGCTGGATGGGACACAGGAGGAGGAGGAGGGTTAGGAAGGAAGAGTAAACAACATGTGACTTGCTTGATGTTGTGGAAGTATGATCAGGTGGAAGAATCTGGGTCATGTGTCATTGGACTCCTGCCCCAGAGAACTTAGAAACTGGGACAAAGTCCAGAATCGCATCCCAGAATAGTGACTTGCATATTCTCAAACAAAAGGACAAATATTAGTGGTAACAAGAGGAGTAGAATTAGTCTTCATTCTCTCTTCATTCAAGGAATACAGATAGTTCTCAACTTACAGCTGTTCGTTTAATGACAGTTCAAACTTAAAAGAGCTCAAGTCTGAGAAATGCCAGTGTGGGCTGAAATCTTATGCTTGCTCGTAAAAATTCTCCTTTGCACCAATGCAGGCAAGCTTACTGTCAGCATTCCAACTAACAACCTCCACCCCAATAAATTCAGAGACAAGCATTTTCTTAAAGGTCCATTTAATTAGAGTTGTCATATTGGCACATCTGGGAAAACCCTAATCTGAGAGTTCCGGGTCTTCCCTTCCCAAAAGAGAAATCAAAGATCCATCCCCCCCGGCGCCCATCAGTCCATCACATGGCCCAATCAAATCTTCGCCCCAACTGGAGACATCCGTCCAGTCACTCCCCTCCATGTGCAGGACAACATGTCCTTGACTCTCTGAGAAAATATGTTGTTGAGTCTAATCTTCCACCTCTCTATGAAATCTCCCCCTCCCAAATTCCCAGGCACTGAATGTGGCAGCCTCGAAGCTTCCAAGTAAAATATGGCTTCCAAGGTTGATGCAGATAACAGATAACAGTTAATCAGAGTTGAAAGGGACCTTGTAGATCATCTAGTCCAACCCCCTGCCCAAGCAGAAGACCCTACACCATTTGTGACAGGTGGGAGTCCAAGCCAGTGATGGCGCTCCCACAACTTCCAAGGGCAACTTCTGTTCCATGGGTTGATTGTCCTCACTGTCAGAAAGTTTCTCCTTATTTCCAGGTTGAACCTCTTCTTGTTCAGTTTCCATCCATTATTCCTTGTCTGGCCTTCAGGTGCTTTGGAAAATAGCTTGACCCCTTCCTCCTCTCTGTGGCAGCCCCTCAAGTATTGGAAGGCTGCTCTCCTGTCTCCCCTGGTCCTTCTCTTCCCTAGACTAGACAGGCCCAGTTCCTGCAACCGTTCTTCACATGTTTTAGTCTCCAGTCTCCTAATCATCTTGGTTGCTCTTCTCTGCATTTTTTCTCACAAGTGCTTCCAGTCTGGATTCACACACAGAGTTTCATTTAGGAATTCCAATCCCGATTGGGTCTGACTCTGCCAGCTCCAATTCCAAATTGATTTTCTGCAAATTCCATTCCAGTTCCAAAATGGTTCCTGTTGAGGAGCGAGTGGGAGGCGAGGCGCCTTCGATCTGCTGGGTGATTCTTTTTGATTTTTAAACCCAGGGACTCCCCTTTTATGAGGGCTCCGATCCGTCTCCTTTGAAGAGGGATGCAGATCTTCCCACCGTCCTGTGCCAAAGATTGTGGCTCTTTCACTAATCTGACTCAGGATTAGGAAAGATTAAAAATGGACTGTTAAATCCCTGGGACCAGCCAGCGCAAGAATTAGCTTGGATGATAGATGGTGAACCATGTAAATAAATATGTATATATATATTTTCTTCACAATTGTTTGTGGACTGAGTTGTTGCACAACACGGGCACGGTTACATCAAATACGCAGCCAATAAGTAGAACAGGTTGTTCTTTTTCTTCTTGTTTCTTCATACAGGTGGTTCTCTACTTATGACCACAAGCAATCATTGTTTCTTTAACTTGTTCTTCTTCTAACTTCACACCTAGCAAATAACCCTATAATGCTTTAACCATCTTCTCTTCGGTGCCTGTTAAGATTTTATCTAATTCAATCATTTCCTTATAAAACCCAGCAGTCGTGGTGTCCTTTTCATACCTTGAATGTATTTGCAAATATGCATACCAATCTATATTGTTCCTCTATTCTTGCTTTGTTGTTTGGAGTTCACCCTGTTCATTTAAAATTTCCTCATATCTAATAATATTCTCCATTTTAAAAACATTTTGATATGCAAATGCTTCTATTGTTGATAGCCAGTCTGGTATTTTTCATATAATGATATTCCCTTCCTTTTTCCCATACTGTTAATAAAGCGTCCCTGACATAACATCTTCTAAAATATCCATGCGCCCTGCTAAGCCAGACATTTTGTTAAGTGAGTTTTGCCCTGTTTTATGACCTTTCTCACCATGGTTGTTAAGTGAATTGCTCCAGTTAGTAACATAGGTTGGTAAGTGAACCCAGCTGCTCCACTGACTCTGTGAGACCCAATTTTGCAAATGACTCCCCCCCCCCCCCGGGCCATAGGCTGTTGCAATGGTTGTAAGTGTGAAAAATGGTCGTAAGTCGCTTTGTTCAGCGCCGTTGCAACTTTGGTCACTAAATGAACTGTCGTAAGTTGAGGACGATCTGTATATGAACCTATCCATGATCTTGCCAGCAATACAGAAAGCATTGGCTACTGCTCATGAAAGAATTGGAGATAGTCCCACATTTAGCAACCGCAATTGCTAAATTGTGGCAAAACAGGGTCATAACATGGGACAAAACTCACTTAATGACTGTCTTGTTTAGCAACAGTAATCCTGTGCAAATCATTGAGGACATCCTGTAATTGCTAGAAGTTGAATGCAGATCAGGACTGACAGGGATTTGATAAAATCTCCTGGGAAAAAAACCCTGGAAAAGTTTTATATTCACTGAGCCAAACAATCCAACTCAGTTTTCTTGGCTAGCTTCTGGTCCCTGACTTATGACTGCAATTGAGGCTGTAATTTCAGTCCTAAGTCATGTTGGTCCTAAGTCAAGGCACCCCCATGTCCAAACCCAACTTTAAAACCATTTTTACGGAGTTTATTGAGTGAATCACACCGTTGTAAGTCCAAACCACGCAGTGGTTAAGAAAAGCACGCAATTGTTAAGTTCAAACCAATTCTCCCAAATGGACAATGGCTTTTTGCCAGAAAGCAACAAAAAAGATCAGAAACTGGTGTATTATATCTTATATATCTTCATATATGATCATGTGAATTTTGCAAACTCTGAACAGCCATTAACCCACAGGCCGTAAGCCCCGGAGTACCTGTATTTCTAATGGAGCACAAATCCTCTTCTGTTTTCTCTTTGCAGCCCCCTTCCCAAGCTTGTGTTCAACAGGGTCAATGGAAAAAGACCCCCGTTGATGATCTCGCCCCCCACAACCACAGAAGAAAACTACACCATAGCTCACGAAGAAAATGTCCGGTTTGTGTACGAAGGTAAGCTGGCTCCTGGCTGGCTCTGGGATAGAAGGCTTCAAGCGTGGCCAGTGGAAGAAGTGTGGACTTCAACTCCCAGAATCCCCCAACTCCCAGCACGCAGGCTGAAGGATTCTGGAAGTTGAAGTTTGAAAAACGCTGCTCTAGGACAGAGGTCGGCAACCCGCAGCTCTGGAGCCGCATGTGGCTCATTCATCCCTTTGCTGCGGCTCCCTGTCACCGGTCGGTAAAAGGAAAAAGGACGCTGTGCTAGGAGGAGAGACTAAAGTGGGGGAACCGGACTTCCGGTCAGACCTTTGTGGCTCTTTGAGTGTTTACGGTTTCTAACCCTTGTTCTAGGACAGAGGTCTTCAAACTTCACAGTTTTAAGACTTGTGGACTTCAACTCCCAGAATTCCTCCTCCAGTCATGTTAGCTCAGGAATTCTGGGAGTTGAAGTCCACAAGTCTTAAAGCTGTGAAGCTTGAAGACCCTTGCTCTAGGAGGAAGTTGAAGCACCAATGGAGCCCCCATGGGCTGTTCTTTGTCAAAAGATACAAATGAAACTTAGACAACTGCAGGGCGGCCAAATCAAACTTTTTTGACTTCCATTTTTATGGAGCGTGGGGATCTGACGGGTGGTCCTTGACTTAACGACCGCAATGGAGTCCAACATTCCTGTTGCTAAGCCAAGACAGTTGAGTTGCCCCCATTTTGCGAGCTTTCTTGCCCAATGCCTGAATTTTGATCCTGGGACCTTGGGGGACACTGCAACAATTGTAAGTGTGAAAAATGGCCGTAAGTCACCTTTTTCAGTGCCGTTCTAACTTTGAACGCTCACTAAATGAACGGTTGTAAGTTGAGGGCTCCCTGTATGTTTTTTTCTTCTTGCTTCTAGCTTGGCAACAAGTGGAACAGCAGTTGGACAGTCGACAGCAGGGAGATGGTGGATCTGGCCCAATACAGTACACAGAGAAAACACCCAGCCCTGAGTTGAAAGGTCAGTAGGGAAATGACTCCTTGCCAGGCTGTTGCTTCTCCCTAAATCCAAGTAGAAGCAAGCTGGCTGGGGGACTCTGGGAGTTCAACTCCACCCATATTAAAATTGCTAAGGTTGAGAAGCAGCACTCTACAACACAGGAGAAATAGCAATAGCAGTAGCTCTTAGACTTATATACCGCTTCACAGTGCTTTACAGCCCTCTCTAAGCGGTTTACAGGGTCGGCCTATTTGCCCCCAACAAGCTGGATCCTCATTTGACCCACCTTGGAAGGATGAAAGGCTAAGTCTGATGAGATTCTTGTGCCTGGTGGGATTCAAACTGCCAAATTGCAGGCAACCGGCAGGCAGCAGAAGTAGCCTGCAGTACTGCCTTCTAACCACTGTGCACCATGGAATGAAGGAAGGAAGGAAGAAGGGAGGGAAGGAAGGAGAAAAGGAAGAGCAATAGCAATAGCCCTTAGACTTATATACCGCTTCACAGTGCTTTACGTCCCTCTCTAAGCAGTTTACAGAGTCAGCCTATTTGCCCACAAGTTGGGTCCTCATTTTACCCACCTTAAAAGGATGGAAGGCTGAGTCTGGTGAGATTCTTGTGCCTGGTGGGATTTGAACTGCCAGATTGCAGGTTGCCAGCAGACAGCAGAAGCAGCCTGCAGAACTGCACTTTAACCATTGCACCACTGCAGCTCAGCTCAAAATTGTGACTTGTTTGAAGGGATAGAGAACTATGTTCGTCACGAACTCCAATAACCAATCACTCCAGATACCAGATAATTTTTATATATTAAATGTGTTTATTTGGTTATTTTGTGCCACCCATTTCCCATGTAAAGTGACTCCAGGTGGCATAGAGCTTATAAAGGTAAGAAAGAATGGTGGGTGCTGTAATTCATCACTTCAGAAGCAATGTCCCAAAGGCATCTGGACTTCCAGATTTTTCTTTGAAGACATTTGCTTCTCATCCAAGAAGTTTCTTCAGCTCTGACTGCGAAAGGAAGGAGGTGTACTCCTTGCAGACCGCTGGTCATTTGCATCCTTTTAGACGGTCATGAAGGGATGCGGTGGGTCACTAGCTAAGACGCTGAGCTTGTCGATCAGAAAGGTCGGCAGTTTGGTGGTTCGAATCCCTAGCGCTGCGTAACGGAGTGAGCTCCCGTTCCTTGTCCCAGCTTCTGCCAGCCTAGAAGTTTGGGAAAACATATAAAAATGCCAGTAGGAAAATAGGGACCCCTTTGATGGGAAGGGAACAGCGTTCCATGTACCTTCGGCGTTTAGTCCTGCCGGCCACATGACCACGGAGACATCTTCGGACAGCGCTGGCTCTTCCTCAGCTTTGTAACGGTGATGAGTACTGCCCCGTAGAGCTGGAAACAAGTAGCACTTATGTGCGAGGTTATCTTAGAGGGTCATTAAGGTAAAATCCTTCCATTCCTCACCACCTGGTTAGAGCTGAAGAAGCTTCTTGGATGAGAAGTGAAACGTCTTCAAAGAAAAACCAGAAAGTCCAGTTGCCTCTTGGGGAAAAAAAATCACCTTTGGGACAACTATGACCTGGAGGACTGAGAATCTCCATGGGCATTTCTGAAGCTGCGTTTCTCACCCCTTTAAAAGGGGTGGACTTCAACTCCCAGAATTCCCCCCGCCAGCAGTGAAAAACTCCATTCTGGTAGTTGAAATCCACCTATTTTAAAATTGCTCAGGTTGAGAAACATGGCTCTGAAGGTTTGGTGGAAAGAAATAACTCCTTTAAGCAGCTTTTTTTTGTGTGTGTGTGTCTGGGGGTGTCTGGCCTTGCAAATTCCAACTTTCCTCTTTTCCTTTTTTTCAGATTTTGTTCCCATTGATCTCGAAGACTGGTGGGCTCAACAGTTCCTGGCCAAAATCAAGAATGGCTCTTAAAGAGAAAGGCGGGAGGGGGACGCTTCACAAGAGAAATGTTCAATTTCACTCTTAAGAAAACGCAGACGCCTTGGAGTACAGCCAGGACTGGACAAATAAAGGGGAAAGAGAGATGTTGGCTGCTCAGCTGGCCTTGGAAATGCTGAGAGGTTCCACTGCCCCGGAAGAAGCCTGCAGCAATTGTGGGAATGCTGGAGTGCCCAGGGAGGGGTGGATGAAGGGGGCATTCTTCTCCTCCCTTGGGCCTGGCACCCAGCACCAAGTCCATTTTGGCCCCGGAGCCTAGACTGTGTTCACAATAAACACCGCTGGTCCTGCCAGTGGCACAAATTCAGCTTGCATGAAAGGAGTTTTTGGGTGGGGTGTGGGGATTGGCCTCCCTCCCCAAGGACGTTTCTCTGGGAAGTGAAATGCCAAGGAGAGGCAGGGCTGCAAGTTATTCAGAGAGAAACATCCAAAGACCAGCTTTGTCAATGTTTAGGCGAATGTAGGCTCAGGAAGTAGCAATAGCATTTAGACTTTGCACCATCATCATCTTTGAATGAGTGGAATCTGGGCAATTGAATGGAGCGGAGTGTTTGCTGGCCAGATGCCCTTCCTGTCACCAATGTGGAGTTATATTCAGCAGATATATTCTCCTCCTGCCCAGAGAGAGAAATATCTGCCTTTACCTAGGATCAAACTCTCAGCCTCCTGATTGCGAAAGCTCCACCTCTAGGCCACCGTACCACTCTAGCCTTTAGACTTTATATACTGTCTCATAATGCTTTACAGCACTCTCAGGGCAGTTTGCAATGTCGGCCTATTGCCCACAACAATCTGGATTCTCATTTCACCGACTTCCAAAGGATGGAAGGCTGAGTCCAACCTTGAGTCGGTCAGGATCGAACTCCAGGATGTGGGCAGAATTTGCTTGCGATACTGCACTTTAACTACTCCGCCACCGTACCTTCGGTTCTCCAGAGCTTTGAATTCCAGTGGCAAAGAGGGACCGTGAGTTTGGTCACCCAGCACAGGAGGCCCACCCCCCAAACCTGGGCGAACAAGCCACAACAGGCTTAGATTTAGTGTAGCATCCTGGTTCATACCTTGTCAACATTTAGACCAGTGTAAGGTCTGGAAGTGTCTTTGGTCTCTGGTGCGCTGAATTTTTGCAAGGAAGTAGCTGAGTTGGGTTTCCATGCTTTGAATCCGACAACATAAGAACCCCTAAATTTGCGTGAACGAGCTACAGGCTTTGCAAAACTTACGGCTTAATGTAATAATATAACCCAGTGTTGTTGAGTTTAGCTTAGGGTTAGCCCAAAAGTGGGGTTGGTGAGTTTGGGTCAGGGGTGAGATTCAGCCGGTACGACCGATTCGGGCAAACCGGTAGTTCTGGTGATTAGTTGGTCCGCCACCCACCCGCTCCAGCTGTAGTCCAGGGGTCGCCAACCTTTTGGACCTCAGGGACCACCAAACTCATAATTTTAAATCCCGCGGACCAGAGACCCTGGGAAAATCCCCCCAAATGCCTGCAGGAAAATTCTCCACCCTGTTTTCCTATCAATCATTCTTTATTTGGGATCGCAGGATACTGTCTCCAGCTCCATTCTCAGGGGGAGAGGGAGAGACTTTTGGCTTCGTGCAAGGAAAACAGCAGAAGCAGCAGAAGTCTGTCTTTCTCTCCCCCAAACTCCGCCAGAATGGCACAGCTTCTTGGAGCAGGAGGCCTTGCAGGGTCCCAGAGACTCATTTCTGATGGAGTTTGAGGGAGAGAAAGAAAAACTTCTGCTGCTTCTGCTGTTTTCCTTGCATGCATCCCAAAGCAGAAGAAGCGGAAAGAAGCAGCCCGGTGGCCAGGCCAGGTGAGCGGGTCAAGTGGGGCAAGTTCCCCGCCCTTCCGCCCTTTCCCCCCTCCCCTCACTACCTCGTGGTGTTCATAATGCAAGCGACGCAAGCGGATTGCCGTGCGAATCAGCTGTTTTACTGACTGGAGGTGCAGCAGAAGGTGAGTTTTAGAGGTGAAAATCGGTGGTTTTCAAACACTGCGCACACTCACCGAACCAGTTGTCATACTGGTTGAATCTCACCCCGGGTTTGGGGGTTGTGGGAACACAGTCGGTGTCCTTTTGTCCAATCCTCCAGTTGCTCTTAGCAACAGTCCAATCCACCAGTTCTTGCATGCAAAAATTTAAGAGGTTTTTTTGTTGCTGTTGTTGTTCTTCTTGGGGGAAGAGCTGGCAAGTTTCCTTCCTGGCTGGCATTTACAATACACGAGCAGAAGAGGCCCAGCCAAAAACGGTTGGGAAGAATTGTGTCATTTGCCTTGCAAAATCCTCACCTGGAATTAAACAAACCCGTTTCCAGGGGAGGGCTGGGTTCACACATTTATAGGGCAAAGGTACTGGGTGCAGGTTCAACCTTGAGGTGTCCAAAATTTAAATGAGAAAAGTAGGTCAGATGCTGGCTTGCCAGCAAGCCGCCTTAGGTGGGGGTTGAAGCCTTCTGGAGCCCATGTTCCAAACATGCCTTCAGCAAATGCGTGGAGAGTGTGTGTGTGTGTGTTGTGTGTGTGAGTCCTTCCTTCTTGGTTGTGTGCTCTTTAGAACTGCTGTGTTACCCCTGCCTTAAAACCAGTCCTCTCCTTCCAATAGGAGTTGAATTTCCATCTGTAAGTTTGGTCAGGAAAACTGGGTTGAGCATCCATTTTGTCCATAAGTGGATACAGATAATTCTTGACTTATAACAGTTCACTTAATGACCATTTTTGAAGTTGCAATGGGGAAGCCAGATTTACCTAACAACCAGGTTACTAACTTAACGACTGCAGACATTGATTTTAACAATTGTGGCAAAGAAAGGTTGCAAAATGGGGCAAAAGTCTTAATGCTTAGTGACAGGAAATTTTGAGCTCAGTTGTGGCCGTAAGTCAAAGAGTACCTGTATTTTTGTGTTTGGCTGGCTTGGCCTGCGGTGGTAAATGATGGTTTGCTTAAACGTGGTTTCTTGGATTGGCTCACGAGTGCCAAATTCATCCATGCTGAGTGGTTACAGTTTGCAAATTGGAATATGGGTGCGATGCCTAAAACCTGTCGTTAAATGAATCATAGCAGTTGTTACATTAGTCACACGCTTGTTAAGTGAATCTGGCTTCCCCAAGGACTTTGTCAGAAGGTCACAACAGGGGCTCGCGTGACCTTGGGATATTGCAACCATCATAAATATAAGTCACGCATCTTAACAGCCGTTAAGTGTGAAAAATGATTGTAACATTTTTTTCAGTGCCGTCGTAACTTTGAGCGGTCACTAAAACTCTTGTAAGTCAGACTGAAAATAATTTTGCAGGAGGTTTATTCATGAGAATCATTGTGGATTTTCACCTAAAAATCAATTAAAAGGAGAATTACTAGATGTGCTTTGGACATTCCTGGAACTTTTGGAGAAACATAATGAAAAACAAGTTCCATTGACTTTCTTAAATGTCGAAAAGGTCATTGATAGTGAGCTTCTCTTGTTTAAGGTCCTGGAAGATTAAAAAAAAAAAGGCTCTTTCTGACTACGCTTGTCAGAAGGTTGCAAAAGGAGATCACATGACCCCAGGACTCTGCAACCGGCATAAATACATGCCAGTTGACAAGCGTCTCAATTTGGGTCACATGACCATGGCGGATGCTGCAAAGGTGTCAAGTGTGAAAAGCGGTCGTAAGTTATATTTTTCAGTGTCGTCGTAACTCTGGAGGGTCTGCTTTAAGTCAAGGACACTCTGTAGTGCAAGGGTAAACGTGCATCATGCGTAAGAAACACTCGGGAGTCTCTGTGTCTGAAAATCCAGTTTATTTTCTTGGTTTTGAGATGGGGAAATGTCACCACTGCAGCTGATTTCGGTACAGAAGAGCAACGGAGTGAGCAGACATACACCTCTGAGAAATGAGCTCACCCCTTGTCTACTTTTGACCTACCTTCCTTTTCTTTTTAATTTTTTTTTCTAGCGAGTACTCCCTTTTGGCATGCAGACACAAAAAGTGCCCAACCCCAATTCTAAAACTTAAGCCAAAATACGGAAGAGAAAAACGTGAACGTATTAAAAAAAATAATAATGACACACACACATTAGAAACCATCATAGCTTATGGACATCTTTGTGGCTTAATCCGTGGCAAGTTCCACCACAATGTATTTCACACAGCCAAGAGCCGGAGAGGAAAACAAAACAAAATAATAACTTTCCAATCCTTGGATTTCCCCCCCACCCCCCCAATCTCTTTTCTCACCTAAAAATCACTTGAGGTCTAGCGTCTTGCGAAGGATGCCAAGACAAGACCTGAGAAATCGGAGTGCAAACTGGATTCGCACAAACATGCACGCACAGGCCCAACACGCACGCACGCACACACACACACTGTGCAAAAAATGCAGGGACTTGTGCAAGAGGAAGGGAACTGTAGTGTGAGCCAAAATACCAACTCTAACCAATCAGCCATGACCAAAAAAAAACAGGTGTGGACAACTTAAGAACATTTTGCAACAAGCGTTTGGGAAAAACGGAAACCTTACACCGAGAGGGGAATGAAAATGGTCCATTGTGGCTAAATTGTGGTAGGGATCATCTAGTCCAACCCCCTCACCCAAGCAGGAGTCTCTACACCATTTCTGACCGTTTGCGGTCCAATCTCTTCTTGAAAGCCTCCAGTGATGAAGCTCCCATGACTTCTGAAGGCAATTTGATTTTTCTCACTGTCAGAAAATTCCTCCTTTATTTCCAGGTTGAATCTCTCCTTGATCAGTTTCCATCCATGATTCCTTGTCCGACCTTTGGGTGCTTTAGAAAACAGCTTGACCCCCCTTCCTCCTCTCTGTGGCAGCCCCTCAAATATTGGAAGACTGATGTCCATCACTGGAGGTTTTTCAGAAGAGACTGGACGGTCACTTGTCTTGAGATGTATAGGTTCTCCTGCCTGAGCAGAGGGCTGGACTAGAAGACCTCCAAGGTTCCTTCCAGCTCTATTCTATTTGATGTCTCCCCTGGTTCTTCTCTTCCCTAGACTAGTCAGGCCCAGTTCCTGCAACGGTTCGTTGTATGTTTTAGCCTCCAGTCCCCGTAATCATCTTTTCAAAGCCACTGACGCCTTTGCGGGGAGGGGGAAGTGATGGTCCCATTGAAGAGATCCCAGGGGGCAGGGAAGGAAGTCAAGAGTTCTTCCTCTGAGCCCTTCTACGAGGAGGAATATTTCCACGCCACTTGCAATGACGGGCAAGATCGCGGGAATCTTCTGGCTGAGCCTCTGCTGGGCAGCACAACACTGCTTCCTGTTGTGCATCTGCTGCGGACCGCAGCCAAGGAGGAACCGAAGCTGCCCAAACTCACGGTGGGTCTGAAGATGGGTCATCCCTGAAAACTGGACCGCAGGAGATTTGGGGATCAAAGAACAGAGGGGCTTTCTTTCACAAGGGAGAAAGGGGCCTCACCCACCGATGCCTTTCTCACACGGCTTGAGAAAAAAGGAAAAAAAACCCCTCACCCCACCCAAAAAACCTCCAACCTTGTCATGGTGCCTTACCAATCCCTTGAAACAGCCCAATCTACCGACAGACCACAAAGGAGGGGTCCATCTCAACTTCTTCTAACAGGATTGATTCTCTTCCTTGCCCCCTGCATTGATGGGAAAGGACTGCCATTAAAGATCCTGGATTGGGATGAAATATGGAGGGAAGAGGAGGAAGGAAGGAGTGGAAGGAAGAGGAGGAGGAGGAGGAGGAGGAGGAGGAGGAGGAGGAGGAGGAGGAGGAGAAGAGGGAGGAGGAGGAGGAGGAAGGGGGAAGAGGAGGAGGAGGAAGAGGAGGGGGAGAAGAAGAGGGAGGAGGAGGAAGGGGGAAGAGGAGGAGGAAGAGGAAGGGGAGAAGAAGAGGGAGGAGGAGGAAGAGGAGGAGGAAGGGGGAAGAGGAGGAAGGAGAAGGAATAGAATAGAGCTGGAAGGGACCTTGGAGGTCCTCTAGTCCAGCCCACTGCTCAAGCAGGAGAACCTGTCCTATGCTATTTTAGACAAATGACTGTCTGGTGTCTCTTCTTAAAAAACTCCAGTGATGAAGTGCCCATGATTTCTGGAAGGAAGCTGTTCCACTGGTTAATTGAGGAGAAGGAAGAGGAAGAGAAGGAGGAAGAAGAGGGAAAGGGGGGAGGAGGAGGAGGAGAAGTCTACAACGCTTGTTGAAATAGCCTTGGTTGGTGTTTAGCAGACTCTGCTGACTTAGTTGTAACCAAGTCCAATTGATTGGGGGGTCTACCCAGAGCTGATTGTAAGATGGGCAGCTATACAAATGTTTGAAATAAATAAAGCCATACAACTGAATCTTGCTAGAGGCACACAAGGTACCAGCAGCGTGCAACAATCAAAAATCTCACAGTGGCCTATAGGTTGAACAGGAAACACAAACTGTTATTCCAAATCATCGCTTCTAACAACTGGTATCCAGGGCTAGGAGGACAATTAGAAGCACAGATTTCCTTCTATCCCGTTGGAAAACACGACCGCATCCAATGACAGAGTGAGTGTCCTAAACTCAGGACTCACTCCACCTGATTTGCTCCTTTGTGTAATTTTAAAAAGGGTTTCTGGACTTGCCTTCAAACTCTGCTTCTTGTAGCCGTCGTGGGGTTTCGAATGGTTGGTTTGCCACTTTTTTTAAAAAAATCTAAAGCTATTCAATGGACCTCGTAAGGAAGTTCTTTGTGAAGAGAACATAGGTAGTTTTGCGTGTCTGTTTAGAAACCGGGTCCAGATAATACAGCATGTATCAGCTTTGGAAGCCATATTTTACTTATAAGCTTCCACGCTGCCACATTCTACGGCCTGGGAACAACGTTCTTCTTCTGAGTCAAGGACAAGCCATCCTGCACCTGGGAAAGGAGTGGTTGGAACACTGACATTATGGTTAAAAAGAGTTGACATAATTTTCAAAAAAGAGGATGATTTTTTAAAGTCAAATAGCTTCTGGGCGTTCAGCGTTCTGCTCTTCTTAACAGAAAGAAGTGTGTTTGCATTGATAAGACTCCACACAGAGGCAAGTACCAAAAGGCACAGACCAGCTAAAGGACAAACTATATAACACCTGCACCAGAAGCCCAAACTAAAAGTTAACTATTAATTCAGAAATAGCACAAAACAAAACCTGAGCGTTCCTTTAGTTCTTTCCTTCCTGGTGCCACATATTTTCCAATTCTCCTCTGACTAACGGAGGTGCAGATGCTCAGATAATATACATTCCATGTGTCATTGATTGATTCAAGTAGCAAAGAGTTTTTGCATTGATTCAAATTGTCATGAGTTTAAGCCCTAGTCCTTTATGCAGAGACGAAAAGCACGGGAAGTCTTTTTTTTTAGATCCCGAGAATGCTCTCTTTTGCAAGACACAACTGGCAGATGGATTGTGGACTCTGGCCTCACACTTTCGGTGCAGCAAGGGAAACCACAACTGAAAACTGAGATGCAACCATCATTTGACTGAACTACTCAGAAGGGAAGGATTGTGCAGAGAGTAATTCTCTGATGCCCGAGAAGCTGGCCTGCCTTAAAAACCCAACCACTGTCATTTCCAAGCTTACTTATTATGGTCTAGAAGCATCTTCCAGAAGCATTTAGAAGTAGAGGGAGGGAGGAAGGGAGGAAGTAATACAGATATAGAAGAAAGGAAGGAAGGAATACAGATATGGAAAGGACAGATGGATGGAAGGAAGGTTCACTGAAGGTGAATTCATTGACTTTCTATATTTCCAGAAACAGAGCTATGGCTTTATTGCCAAATCCAGAAAGTCTACAAGAGTTAGCTGGCAATAAGATAGCCACAAAATGGATCGTCTACCTCAAGGGTCTTCAAACTTGACAGCTTTAAGACTTGTGGACTTCAGTTCACAGAATTCCTGAGCTAACATGACTGGAGGAGGAATTCTGGGAATTGAAGCCCACAAGTCTTAAGGCTGTCAAGTTGGAAGACTCCTGTTCTACCTTGTGGCAGCTAACAACAATTTGGAGCTGATGTGAACGTCAAACTCTTGGGTTTTTCAAGACGATCTCTCTGAATCAACTTCCTTGGCCTGAATGAGTTCTAGAGGTACAAATACCAAGGTCCAGAGTTCTCAGGAGTGGCATGCTGGCTGGGGACTCCTGGAAGTTGGAAGTCCACATCCATCCTGAGGGCACCCAGACCGGGAAAATGGCATCAAAAGCAGCTTTGCAATGAGAAAGCTCATGGTTGCTGCTTGTGATCTGATGTTCATGAGATCTTCAGAGAGCAGAAGAAAAGAGATTTGGATACTGGTATATGCAGTATGGATGCTGAAGACTGTCAAAACAAACTTGTCTAATTCTCACCAAGAAAGTGGAGATATTAAATCTTGCTTCACTAGTTCTTGAAGAGCAGAGTCAATTTCCCGGATACCATCTAAGGTAGGGCTCAAAATGGCTTGCTTCTTTCACTTATTTGCTTTTTCATCATCTAAAAGATGCAAACCATCCAAAAGACCACAAGTGGGTTCATTCCAAAGAGTTTTTTGCCTGAACATATAGATATGGATCACAACCACATGGGTGAATATGTGCTGTCAATGCTCCAAAACTGGGGACATGCAGGCGGGCCAATGACACCAACACTGGTCCAGTGGAAACTTCTCAAGAAGATGAGATTGGGAGGCTGGAAAAGGAAGAAGAAACTAGCATCCTAGCATCCAAGATACTGAACTGTCCCAGGATTCAGGGTTAGCTGCTTCCACGACTGTTAGTAGGCTATGCCCTCCCATTGTCATCAAAATGGAGTGAGAGTTGGTAGGACATCCCAGCTGCCTTGAAAGTTGGTTAAGCATTCCTCCTCCTTCTCATGCCTCACACAGACAAATGGACATACAACACATCCACACAACCCACGCATTCAACTTCATAAAGTCAGTACAGTGGTGTACCAATTGTCCAATGAGACTATGTCCATTCTTCTTGTTGTTGGAGACATGGCTGATACTATAAATTACCTTCTCTTTATAGACTATCTTATAGGCAACAGGTCAGTCCGCCAAAAGAGGCTGGAGAAGACTTAAGACTCATTTCTCGCAATCTTCTGTGTAGTGCTGGAAACGGGTGAAACTCATAAAGACTTGCTCCAAGGAGATTTGGCTTACGGAGTAATCTTCTATGCAATACTTCTCTTTGGCTTTTTCGAGTGTCCCAAACACCTGGGAGATGCAAGACACACAGGGAGAGAAAGGGGTAATTAACAGAATACTTTTTCCAAGGCTTAGAAGCTTGTAAGATATCAAGGCTAAAAGGGAAAAGGAAGTTGGGAGTCACTACTGAAGATCTTAGCTTTCACAGGTTGAGCTGTTCTAGATCCTCCCATGTTCGCCTTTGTACACCCCCATTGGCCATTGCTCCAGCCTTACCTGTGCCCAACTGAGGTTCTTATTGGTGAGGTGGTAATGGACCATCCCCTGGTGTTCATGCTTCAGGACACTCTCTGGGAAAGGGAAAAAAGAAGATATAGCCAAGTTCTGCTTCCCAAGACAACCACATTCCCTCAAAATCAAACTGCAATCGTTCTTAACTGTGGTCAATAATTTGTTGAAAGTCTCTGTCCTCGTTTCCTACCTTGCCTTCCAGGTGCCACTCTGAATTTTAATGCCCCAATGAAATGTTCTGCGATAAGTAGAATAGACTGCAAATGTCCCATGCAGTCAATCCCATTAAGTAGACTAGTCCAGGGGTCTCCTCCAACCTTGGCAACTTTAAGACTTGCGGACTTCAACTCCCAGAATTTCTGGATGAGGAATTCTGGGAGTTGAAGTCCACAAGTCTTAAAGTTGCCCAGGTTGGGGACCCCTGAACTAGACCAGTAAATCAATTTCCCAAGAAAGATTTTAAAAAGGCGCAAAGTATCAAGGCCATGCATTGAGTTGCAGTTCAAGATCTATTGCTCAAGTCAAATGTATATCCAAGAATCTAGTCAACTAAAGTTCAATACTAAATTGGCACCAGATAAGAGTCAACAAAATATCAAGAGGGGTTGAACTTGGATGTTTCTGGCAATGTAATGACTCTAAGCTTATGACACACTTAACTCCCCCACCCCCTCCCCCAGCTGTGCCTGCTCTTCTCTACAGATTTGCTCTAATAACCACATCTTGCAAGGCTGATTCTGTTGGACCTTCTCAATCGTTCATGCTTCAGGGAATCAGGGAACTGCCTGCCTGAATCACTTCTGAATGTTATCTTGTTGCTCTGGGCTTGTTTAACTCACCATCATGGTCATTAAATGAACAATTGTTTGCTATGGCCCAGTTTTACCAAAAACCGGAAATAAATGTCAGTTTTCAGCAAAAATGTTGTCAAATGTGCTCAAGTTTTGAACATATAAACAACCATAAACGCAAGTTGGTTGCTGGCCACCCAAAATGCGGTCATGTGATCACAGGATCTGGGGGCATGAAGTTGGAACTTCGAAAACAATGTCGCAAGTTCCATCAATAACTTTGAATAGTCAACTAAGCCACGGGTCCTAAGGACTACCTGTAGGTGGGAAGGCTGGTCAGATATGAGCAGCTGGAAGACATGCTTGATCCCAAAGCTGGCTTACCAGGAAATGTCTTCTCCACGAAGGCCTTGAAGTCTTCTACGTGGCCTTCTTCATCACAGTGGGTTTTGGCCAGCAGGGTATATCCACTGCCAAACTTGCTCTTCAGGTGCTGAGGGCTGCCCAGGCACTTGAATTGCCCGTTGACCATGATGGCCAACCTGGTACACAGAGCTTCACATTCTTCCATGCTGCAGGAGAAGGATGTAGATGTTAGAACAGCAAGCGCAAGAGTCCACAGATCTTCAAGCACCAGCCAAGATGGAGAACCATTGGCCTAGAGATTGGCAGATATCCGTATCTTTTCCCAAGGTGATGGAAGACAGAGAAACAGGCCCAACCTGTGAGAAGTGATAATGATGGACTTCCCACACTCTCGTGTCCGAGCGACTGCATCCCATAATAGGCGCCTGGCCACAGGGTCCATGCCCGTGGAGGGTTCATCCAGGAACACCACAGGAGGTCCACCAATGAGAGAAATTCCTGCACTCAGTTTCCGCTTGTTCCCACCACTGCAGAGACAGAGAAGAGGAAGGTCACGAATGGTGGGACCACACCCAGTTGCCACCAGCACATTTCTGATCATGAAACAAAGCCCCTGCTCCCACTTCATCCCACCTCCCATCATGGATGAGTGCAGGAGGTTCAGAAGGCTTCTCACCTGTATGTGCGGATGAGTTTGTTGGCATGAGGTTCTAAGAGCAACCCACGAAGCATGTTCTCCACACAGCTGCCGATGTAGCGTTCAGGGATGCCCCGCAGTCGGGCGTACATGCTCAAGGTCTCCCTTCCAGTCATGTGATCCAAAAGTGCATCAAATTGAGGACAGTAGCCAATCCGCTGCTGGATCTGGAGGCAGATCAAATCAAGTTGAGAAGAACATCTCCAACCTACCTGCTTATGAGACGGTGATGGTCCCAATTATCCTGGTTTCTCCGTATGGAGGTGAACTTTGGACAACTAGCTCCATAGCTAGTAGCCCCCAGGATGCTCCTCCAAACCAGATTAGGGGCTCAGGTGAAACCAAGAAGACCCAGATTTAAGTCCTTGCTCAACCACAAACCACAAACTGCTCATGTTCAGTCAGTATGGTGCAAATAAGGGACAATTCCCACTTATTCTCCTTGAGGTAGACATGTAAGCAAGAAAACCAGCACTTAGAAGGATCCTAACTGCACTTAGCAATTGTGTCTTTTCCTTCCAAATGCTCAGTGCTGCTCTTTGAGAGCTTGTGAGAAATGCGCTTGAGGTTAGAATTTGCCAAGAAATAACAACAACCGGAAAGGAGAACACATAGTGTGTTCTGGATCTCCCTAGCCCCCAAGATGTTTGGGGCTCCTGGGAGCTTCTCAAGACTGAGCTCAAATCAAGGTTGTGGAACGGCCAACCACTGTAGATGGCCCTTGAATGATGTGCTGGAATTCACACCCCCAGAGGTGGACAGAGGTCAAGATAAAGATGCAGAAGGCCAAGTTTAATTTAGTTTATTTACTTAAATACCATATCCTAAAGAGATGGCTTCTTCTTCTCTTCTCATAGTCAAAATAGCAATTTGCCAGACATTTTTGAAAGGTGTTGAAGGCAAAGGTTTGGAGTTCCCAACAAAGCTTGGAAGTCTCCCTATATCTCCCAATAAGGGCCACAATATCCCCATCAGAAATGAATCTGAAGTAGGATTTGGACACCTGATATTTCCTCCTCCTCTCAACTGACCTGTTGCTTTGTCTTTTTGCAAACTACAGAATCTGGAGAACTCAATCCCCTGGACCTATGAGTTAGCCCACTGCAGATATTGTCAGCAAAAATTCCTCAGGGTCCCCCAAAGACAAAACTGGAATTATCTAACCTAGAACAGGAATCCATGACTTTGTCAACTTCATCAACAACATGTTGTTGCCTGTTCTCAACTCCCCCATTTTTTTTTAATGACCCCGTAATCCCTTGCTTCGGGGTGGGGTCATGGCGACTGAATGGAGCTGAGCGTTTACTGGCCGGATGCCCTTCTTGACGCTTCTGTGGTGTTCACAGCAATTACTCATTGCTCTCAGAGAGAGAAATATCTCCATCTCTAGGCCACTAGGCCACTCTGCCTCAACTCTCCCGTTACCTTTTTGATATTGCCCAGGATGCTGTGTCCATCCACATAAGCGTCTCCCGATGTGATGCTCTCGTCCCCTGTTAGCATCTTGAAGGTTGTGGTTTTGCCCGCCCCGTTGAAACCCAGAAGGCCAAAGCATTCTCCCTTGCTGACCGCAAGAGAGATTCTGTCCACAGCCAGACAAGAATCCCTGCTACTATACACCTGGAAAAACAAAAGTGGGGAAAAAAAACCCAACAGTGGCAGATGTAAAACACACAAAGTTGGCCTTATTGCTGCTAATACTATTCATTATCATTTACTTCATTATTGTAGACTTATAAATAAATAATCATTTATTATTATGTGCTACTGTGGCTGGTTGCACAGTCAGATTGGATTTGGCATTTTTGTGTACCTATCAAGTCCTTCCCAAGAACCTGGGGTAGATAGATGTGGTTGTCATCTCAGGATGTAAGCTATTCCAAGTCAAGCTGCCTTTTGCAATTGACTGATGAATTTGTTAAATTCATGTTAGCCAAAGGGTCGGGAGCCGCTGCTCTAGTGTAAAATTTCTCCATCTTCGCAACTTTAAGGCGTATGGACTTCACTTCCCAGAACCCTGAATTCTGAGAGTTCAAGTCCACCTATATCTTCACGTTGTCAAGGTTGAGAGAATCCACTCCAGTGGTTCTCAACGTTTTCAACCAACAACAAAGAACCTGCGTCCTACCATAATCCAAGAAAAAGTTTAGTGTAGAGAGGTAGTTAGGTGCAGTGGTTAAAGCATCAGACTAGAAACCAAGAGGCCATAAATTCTCTTCCTTAAGCTACGAACATGGAGCTATGGACACGGTCTTGAGCTGGCCTCAGAATGAAGCAGGATGAACATCAAATCAATAAATAAAAGCCAATCTTTTTTCACGGAAAGCCAGTTCTATGTTTAGAAGGTTTCTATTATCTTTATGGCTTATACTGAGATTTAAGGGTCTAACATTAACATTATGGAGAAACAACATAAATATGTAAAACTTTTCTGGAGAACCACAGTTACTTTCTAGACTTCAGGGACCAGTAAAACCATCTACTATTTCTTCAGGTGGAATTTTTTTTTTTGCATAAAAAGTATGTACTTCAAAACAGTGGTGGGATTCAATTTTTTTTTACTACCGGTTCTGTGGGTGTGGCTTGGTGGGCGTGGCTTGGTGGGCATGGCAGGGGAAGGATCCTGCAAAATCCCCATTCCCTCCCCATCCCACTGACCTGCTTTCCAGCTCCCTTCTCCTGTGCAGGGCAACCAATAGCAACCCAGCTGATCAACTGGGACTCAGGAGGCGGAGAATAGATGGGGTTGGCGGGGCCAGTCAGAGTCTGTGGGCGTGGCTTGGTGGGCGTGGCAAGGGAAGGTATACTGCAAAATCTGCATTCCCTCCCCACCCCTCTAACCTGCTTTCCAGCTCCGTTCTCCTGTGCAGGGCAACCAAAGAAGACCCAGCCAATCAGCTGGGACTCAATGGGAGGCAGAGAAGAGATGGGGTTGGCGGGACCAGTCAGAGGTGGGATTTGCCGGTTCTCTGAACCACTCATAATTTCCACTACCGGTTCTCCAGAACTTGGTCAGAACCTCTGCTTCAAATGTGGTTTACATTATTTTGACGAGGTTTTGGTGAGCGATAACAGGGAGTTTTAGAAGCTACCTTGAACATCTACCTTGGTAAGCTCCTTAATCACCAGAGGACTATTCAGAGAAGAAATTGATGCTACTGGAGATTCCAGAACCTTCTTTCTTTCATCAGCAACATCCCGGTCTTCTGGAAGCACCGGAACCTGGTTTAGCAGCATGACCTGTTGAACGGCATGAAAAATCAAGCAAATGAGCCACGGTGCCGCAGTGGTTAAACTGCAGTACTGCAAGCTACTTCTGCTGACTGCTGACTGCTGGCTGCCTGCAATTTGGCAGTTCGATTCTCACCGGCTCAAAGTTTTGACTCAGCCTTCCATCCTTCCATGGTGGGTAAAATGAGGAGCCAGATTATTGGGGACAATAGGCTGACTCTGTAAACTGCTTAGAGTGGGCTGTAAAAGCACTGTGAAGCAATATATAAATCTAAGTGCTATTGCTATTCCTTTTCTTCTTCCTTCCTTCCTTCCTTCCTTCCTTCCTTCCTTAAAAACGTCAGTGAATTCTCTTAACAATGATAGCCAAAATATTATAAAATTGGGACAGGATTCACTTAAAAACTGTCCCGCTTAAGCAAAAGAAATCTTGGGCTTAATGTTGGTTGTAAATTAAGGACTGTGTAAATCAAGGAGCCCAAAATTTATGTTGCTAAGTGAGACAGAGGTTAAGCGAGTGTTGCTCCATTTTATGACCTCTTTGCCACAGTTCTTAAGTGAATCACTGCAGTTAGTAACCCGGTTGTTAAGTGAGTCTGGCTTCCCCATTGATTTTGATCATTAGAAGGTCGCAAAAGGGGATCACATGACCCCCGGGATGCTGCAACCGTCATAAATATGAGTCAGTTGCCAAACATCTTGAATTTTGATCATGTGACCACAGTGAACAGTCACTAAACAAACTGTTGTAAGTCAAGGATTACCTGTACTTAATATGACTACACAACAGGTTTTAATCTTTCCCCCACCATAGTATACTGAGGTAGCAATTCTTGGAAGACTGTTGAGATCTACTCAACAGTCTTCCAAGGCCTACAGAGCTCTACAGAGAATCATTAAAACTGCCCAGGATATCTTCAAGCTCCAGCTACCAGCCCTTTCATGACATCTTCGCATCTCGCTGTTTGAGGAAGTCGCACAACATTCTCAGACTCTTCCCATGCTGCTCACAATCTTTGTGAAACTGTTGCCTTCTGGCAGAAGATACCGAACCATTAAAACTCAGACGACATGTTTTTCTGAACAGTTTTTATCCCAGAGCTATAATTGCACTTAACAATGAACTTAAGGACCATCATCAGTGAGCTGTTGGACAGCATTATTTGGTCTGTTGTGTGGATGCTTGCGTGTTTTTAGGGGATGGGGAATTTTGGTGGGTAGGGAGGTGTTTTGGGATTGTCGTGTGTGTGTGTGTGTGTGTGTGTGTGTGTTGGGTCTCTGGGTGTTAAGTGAATTTCATTGTATGCGTATATTGTGTATATACGTACAATGACAATAGACTACTACTATTATTATTATTATTATTACTTTATTATTATTATTACTTTATTATTATTATTATTTAATCTTTAGTGAGATTCACAGCCTTTGGGGCTGGTTGGTAGCTCAACAGCTCAAGTCCTAACCAAGGACCTTGGAACTGTTAAGGTAGCGTCGGAGGATATAAGCTGTTCCAAGTAGGGTGTTTTTTTTGTAGAATCAGGGTACTCAAGTCTGATAAATGGAGAATTTCTGAATAGCGAGGTAGCCCTTTAGGTATTACTCCAAGGGGTCCAATTACAATTGGGATAACACATGATTTCTTTTTCCAAAGTTGCTCAACTTCAATTTATAAGTCCCAATACTTTGTGATTTTTTTTCTTGCTGCGTGTCAATGTCAATGAACCAAACCTTATCTTATTATTACCAAACCTCCTCCTCCTCCTCCTAACAATTGTTATTGTTGTTGTTGTTACTGTTATTGTTATCATTATCGCTATTGTTATTGCATTCCCAGATGCCAACAATTCGCTTTGCTTTCATCAGATGATGCCACCTTCTTCCTCCCTCCATGACATCATGAGAAATTTGGGTAGAAAGTTAATCTACATGCAATATTGAGAAACTCTGAAGGACTCAGCCAAGGAAGGGATTCCTTGGTAGGAAAGCCTCACCCATTTCCGCCTCCGCCGTATGTCGCAAACAATGGTCCTCATTCTCCAGAGAAGGTTAGTCTCGATGAGAAAGAGCAGGAGAAGGAAGGAAAGCCCTTGAGCTGCCATAGCTGTCAAGTATTTTCCAACGCCTGGGCTTTCCCAAGCAAAGTAGTTTGTCTGGTAGGTGATATCTGGAAGAGGAATGAGAGGAGAAGAGGACAAAAAAAGGATGATTTCAGGAGACAGCAATCTTCCGATGGGTGAAGTCTCCACCAATCTTCTAACTGAGAGTCAAGGGTATGGGACAATTATGCAAAGAGGACAGAGTTATGGGGTTGAGATGGGTGGTGTTGCTGGGTTTGGGGCAAGGATGTCAGAGGGTGCACAGCTTTACTAAGTGAGACAATGCAGGAGCAATAACAGCAAACAGAGGTTTGTAATAAATAGTGGTTTTATCTACAAAAGAATACTATACATACATGTACTATAGGCAGTAGTCAAACAAGCAGCAATTACAGCAGGGAAGAACACACAGTGAGAGAAAGAGACGCTCTAACAGGGCCTCTTCTTATTAAATAGGCTCTTAAAGGGATAACAGCCAAAAAACTTTGCTGACTCATTCCCATCATTATATTACTGCATCAGCTGGTCAGCTCTTAAATCACCACCCGGACAAGGGAACATGTGGACTTTGTCTATTTTATGAAGGTTAGTCATTTCTATTGCAACAAAGATCAGAAGTGTTGAAGCAATGAACCCTCCTATGATAATGCCAGGCTATGAAAACTGGACAGTTGAGAAAGAACGAAAGAACTAAGATAAATGCACTTGAGCTATGGATTTCAGGATGGTTCCCAAGAGAACCATGACCTGGTTCTAAAGAATTGGTCAATCCTGGACAAAGCTTGACTGCTTCCTTCAGTGGTCAATTAGCAAGTAGATACTTACGTCCTTTGGGCAGGTGAGGAGAGTGGATGAGGAACTAGGGAAAACAATTACACTTGAAAAAGTCGGGGGAATGGAAGAAAGGGAAGATAATAGATAAGGTCTATGGATGAGATTGATATTGGAATGATTACTAAATAAGATTAGGATGGTGGGCATTTGTCCATACCAGAAGTTGAACCTAATTCAGTGTCACCTAATTAACTCATAATACTTACCTTAAGAAATATACTACATCAGACGATCTAATATAATGGTCTGTTGGGACTGAGAACTTGGTAACGAAGCTAAAAGTTGACCTCTTTTCAGTTGCTTGATAACCCATCAATATGTTCTGAGTGTGTCTACACTTT